ATATTTTTCTATCTTTCCTGTATCCTCCACAAGCTTCTAAAGACATCACAGAGCATTTTCTTAGTATATATGAGGTTGGAGAGGCAGGAATAATTTGGGACTTGAAGCTCAGTTTGTGTAATAGCACAGCTGTTTCAGATTTGGTCAGTACCTGGCTGAATCCAGAAAGAACTGGAGAATGTAAAGACCAAAGTCATATTTCAACGTGACATTTTTGTCAAGATATTATCTGTCTTCTGGGACGTACCAACCAACTTCCTTGCAAGACAACAGAAGGTGAATTAGTGCCAGCTGCACCTGACTTCTTACCACCAGCAGACAAAGCTTCCAGGTCTCCATGTACAAACGGTTCCATTTATTTACATCGTCACAAACTGTCCTCCACTTGGGTTTGCCTGAGGAGAGCATTCACCCTTTACTGCTCAGTCTAATTACTGACTCAGACTAATGGCTCATTACTGATTCAAATTGCGCAGTCTATTGGCTGTACAACTGGGCTATTAACATTTTCTGGAGGTAAGACCCTTGGAAAGCAGCAGAAAGAAAGCCACAGAATGGCTCTCTTGCCAACTTGCCCACAACTGCAGTGGAGAATTTCCCTGAAATGAAGCCTGCCTTTAAGCCCATTTCTCACTGTTAAACCCACAAAAAGGAACCCAATTCTAGATGTTTAATTGACAGGAATTTTAAGTTGTTCATCTTAAGTTCCTCTAATTGCTCCAGTGTTTTCTTGTAGGCTGCAAACTCATTGGGCAAAAGCTTTTTGCAACTCCATAAAGGAGTCTCGTCTACATAAGATAGTAAGCATAAAACCAGCTCAACTCAGGCTTTGCCTTCTGTGAGGCCATCAGAGCTTGCACTTCACCAACATCCCTGTATCTCCCCCAGGCTCATGGAATTGCAGATGCTATTGCCAGCTTTTGTATGGGAAGCAAAGCAAGTCAAAACAGGCCTGGAACTTAATGCATTGCAAGAGACTTTATGAAAAAAAAAGGGAGCTCATACCATTCAATACTCTTCATGACTGACACTGACAGCTTATTGGGCCCATATTTACCCTGTACTTCCATCATCTTTTAATGCCAGATTATAAAACCAAGCCTTCCTTCCCATTTCCTTCATTCAGTTGATTAAAAAATAGTATCAACATCTTGCACAGCATCCAGAACAGTTAACAACCACTAACAAATCAGTATCACAACCTAGATATCTTTTTTCCTCTTCACCCATAGCCAATTTCTCTACTTTTATTTCACTTTGATTTTAAGAAGAAAGATCAAGTGACTTTAAGCTTATTGGAAACAAACAATGACATGGTTGCTTTTTACATCCCTCTGTCTCCTGACCAGCCTGCTTATTAAAACCTGCTTGGTGACTGCGAAAGTCAATACTCATGGCTGCAGTATGCCAAATTTGTAGCTTTGAGATACTAAAGCCCCTGCATTCCTCGGATTAAGAAAGTTTTGTTTTCTTCTATGTTTGCTTGTTTTGTTTCAAACGTGTGGCACAATTTCCCTTTGCTGGAAAGGAATGGCCTGCATTCTTTAGGCAGCGAAGAAATCCAGTGCCATTGGCTCCAAGGGTGCCTTTCACTGCTTCTTAAAACATTAAGAACCTCCCAGTGGGAGAGAGGGGGGAGATGAGATCCACCCCTCTAGGGGATAGCGTGCATCTTCGAAGTCTCTGAGGCCTTCCAAACGAAGCAGCAACTGAGTAAATTAGAGCAAAAAGCTGCTTACAAGAAAAGACTGTACAAGGAACAAGCTGGAATAAAGAACAGACAGCAACAGAAATCTGCAGGTTCTGGATATCATAATCCCACCCAAGATAACTGCATTCCATGACAAAAGGCTTGGAAACTTGTTCTTTGCTTGCAGGCTGAATTCAGCATAGGAAGAACAATGGTAATTGTCTGAGCTGTAAAGTCCACACACCAAGCTTGTCCTGGAGAACCTAGGTTTCTATTCCACCTCATACAAACATTCTTCCATCTCTGCGGCCTCAGGTCTCTGCCTTCCAGCAACAGAGCATTTCTCAGCCACAGAACAAATCAATACATACTATTTTAAAGTTTTGAGTTTGGTGCCAAGTTAATTTGATTTAAATTACCTTACAGGGCAAATTGTATGAATAACTGGCATTGCATCATACAGCAATAGCAGCAATGTAAACATGGGTAACCAGAGCATGGGATTTACAAATAAAAAAGATTTCTTGCCAGCACTCTTGTCTGTTCTCTGCAGAAAGCTCCACAGAACCACTTCTGGAACTACAAGCCAAGCCACGTGACCATAAAGCCATTTCATTTTCTTTTCATCCATAGTGAGAGAGCCTGTGAGTGGAATCACATCTTCTGGCAACTCCATTATACCTACTGACTCCCAGAAATTAGGGCTAAACAGGAGAGAGGCCAAAACATTTGGAGAAAGGGTTATTACCAATACCCAGCCTTCTTCTCCTTCCAACATTATTTTGTTTCTTCTAAAAAAGAGCTCATGTTAATAAAGTCTTCATTTATTACCCAACAGCTTAACCCTAGTCATCTGCAGTTTCTAAGGCAGAGCAGCCTCTATCCAAAAAGACTACTTTGCCTTGAAGACTTGAAAGGCACCAGCATCACACAAAGTTTATTAGCTCCATATTTTACATTCCTGTATGAATGAGACAAAAGAAAACACTTTTGAGAGCCTCAGCTACTGCTTCCTCCTGAGAGGGCCTACTGTGTGCCAGACAATGTGCTCTTTGACTCAGAGACCCTTACCCAGGGATGGAGAGAGGAGTGTGTGGAGCAGTGGGAGAAGTCCAATAGCTCCTGATTCAGGTAGCGGTTGCCCAAAGTGATGTCAGAAATTTCAAAGATGTGCCTCTGCAACAGAAATGTCATCACTGACTCAGTTCCTGCTGGACGCCTCCTCACCCTGCCCTGTCATCTTGCGAAGGGCAATCTTTACAGAAAGAGTCTGAACACTCAGTTGGAATGGATGGTTATATGCACACAGGCTAGCTACTGGTCTTCAGAGCAGCCAGACCTCCAGCAAGCACCTGGAGGAAGCCAGACTGTTCTTGGTCCCAACTTCCTTACAATAGGATCTGATGTTGGAATTTTGAATCAAAGTAACTTAAGTCAAGAAAACACACTGACAAGAAAGACAGATGAATTTTTAATTAGGTATTCATCACTAGCCCCAAAAGTAATGCTAAGTCCATCAAGTTTTAAACTAAATTATTTCAGCTCCCAAAAACCCTCTTGATTTTAAAAGACCCTTTAATTATTGCTCACAAGTATTTTTCTAACATGATGGAGAAAGGCCAAAGTGGCTTCCAATAGATATGAACAGATTCAGAGTTGGAGGGAATAGAAAATGTACATGATTGCTTGAAGCATACTGGCCCAAAAAGAACCATTTTCCTTTTCTTGACAGGATGTTTTTGCAATCACCTGACTAAGCATACCATTCTTGAAACAGGATGCCACAAGCAGCACCAAGGAGAATCGATGTATATTGCAAATTTTAGATTAATTCATTCCATTTACAGTTCTCTTTCTTTTTTGCATGTTCCAACTTCTGAGTTAATAAAGGGAGTGAAGTGGAAAAAACAAGTTCAGATGTTTTCCCCTTTTGCTCCTGTTTCCTTTGAAATCCAATGTCAGCTGCTTCCAATTCTAAAAGAACAGACCAGGACTACTCAGGTAGGAAGCCTACAGACAATCCCCAGCCAAAAATAATTCAGATTTCAAGAGCTACTTGATTTGTACTTCAGGCTAGACTAGCATTAACAGAATGATAACAATGCATTCAGGTGCCAATTATACTTTAACATGTAATTACAGGTTTACAGAGACATATCCTTATCTAAAATAAGAAGCAGACTTCAGCATTCAGTATTAACTAAGTAGTTCTCTTTGCATCTTTTTCCTCCCCACTTTTTCCTAAGCTGCAATACATAAGCAATAGACTGGATAACAGATATTCTCAAAATGCTCTCTGATCATGTTCACTGCTCTGAACACAGCAATCTACAATCCCTGTTAAGTGTTCACATGACTGTATTGACAGTCCCAGCATGGAAAATGTTCTTCAAATTAAAGCACTGTCATTGAGGTAGGCATTTTCCTGTGTTTTGAAGTATGAGGAATGATTGGTTTAAAGAATGAGCACTAAAATTCCACTTCAGATATTAAAACAGGAACTTCTCCCAGGAAACAGCCTTCATCCTCACCAGCAGGAGTGAGGATGCATTCAGCACTGTTTTCCTGTAGTAGAGACAAAAGTTGACTCTGAATGGTGGGGGTTGAGGGGAGAAGGGTTGAAAAAAATCAGGGCGTGGAGAAGTCCTACAGACAAATTTGACTGCCCCTCAATGTACTCTTCCCACCTAAGGCTATTGCAATGAATACACATCAGAGACACAGAGAAGGGCTTCAACTACTCACAGGAGAACAATGACACACCTAAATGCCTCACTCAGGAAGAGCAAGGACTGTAAAGAAGGACTAATGTCTAACGCACTTTCCAAGCATAGCTAGGGTTTAATCCAGCACATCTGGCCAGAGAGTTTGATGTTCTGTGAAAAAGAAAATGAAACCACCCAACACTTTCAATGCATATAAAGCCACAATCATGACATTGACACTCCTGACTCTCAGTGTACTAGTCATATTGATAGCCTTCCTAATCTCTAGGGGTTTTATTTGAAATCCTCTGTAGTTAACATCAAGGTGAACAAGAGGTTATTCTGTGCCAGATGCTTTTTTGGGAAGCTCTGTTTTCATGTACTACATCTCGGCTGAGGAGCAGAGCACACCATTTTCTACTCCATGGGATGGTGCACCAACAGACTGTTATTTTGTTCCTCCTACTGAAGGTAGAGGTCCACAGGCATGAAAGCCTCCCACACACCGAGCTAGTTAGGAATACAGGTTCCGAGTTATCTCAAGGGGACTTGGCAGGGCAGCTGCTATTACAAAACAAGTTGCTGAAGCACAGGACTCCACTCACCTTTCCTCCCAGAATTACCCTGGCTTGATGGTTTATCAGTTACAGAACCTAAAGGGAAGGGAAAAAAAGAAAAAAAGACATTTAGATGCTGCATGATCACACAGAACGTATAATGTCACATTAACACAATGAGCATCTCAACCCACAGAGCATCTGTTTTACTTGCCAACAGCTCAGCTTGGGATTCAGAGAGCCTGTTGCTCCAACAAACTGGGACAGCATAAGGAAGTTTTGCATGTTGAGATATTAAATCAGGATGAAGGTAAAAAAGAAATCTTTAATAGCTAGACCCAGTGCTCTGAAAGAGCTCAACAGAGCACTAGCACTAGTGTGCTAGTAAGAAACCTGGAATAAATCCAAGGGCAAGTAGGAAAGATCACTAAGAGTCACTTCTTAAGTTTGCAAATGTCAGGAAGAGCAAATCAAAAACAGGTGGGGAGAGTGTGCAGGGAAAGCAAGGCCAGTATTCTAAAGGGAAGGGATTAAGTGGGATGATTTGCAGAAAATGAATTTCAACATCCCCAGCTATTTGAAGAGGTACACTGAGTAAGATCTAGCATGTACTTGAACACATCCTGGGGGTTTTAATATAACTTAGATTTTTACATAATACATATGATTCTACAGTTTTCTGCAGTTTGCTTCAGTGCTTCAGAACACTGTTTTCCATTAAAACTTGAACTAATAATAAAAGCTTTTTGAAAAAATCCATTACCAAAGTGTAAAAATCTATTACAAGTTTTTTTCTTCCCCCCTCTTTTTCTGGAATAGCCTTATTACCAAGAAACTGATTCTTCTATGCAGCATTACTAAACAGTTCCAGTAATTACTGATCCTTCCAGAAACATGGATCAAAAGTCATCTCCAAAGGAGGCAGCTCTGACAAGCCCAAGAGACTGGTCAAGACAAACTCTAATGTAAACTCTATTGCCCAAGCACTTTCACTTGCAGACCAGTTCATCACCAGTCTACTGCTGGATTATAAGTAGGAAGCACATACCCAGTATCAGTCATCATGAGCTCAACATCTGTGTGTCCTACAGAACACTATGACTTTACTTTCCTGGCAACACAATTATATAAACAGCTCAAGACTAAATGAACTGATAAGCAAGACTAAAACATGCCCTACCAAAACCATACACGGGAATGATGGAAGAAAGTCATATTTTAACATTTAAGCCAAATTACTATAGCATTTCATCTTACACTAAAACAGGATATTAATTTTATTTTCTTTCCACGTACCTGTGGAACAGCAAGCATCCCCTCAAGCTACATTGAGTCATTGGCTCCCAGACAGTTCTCCCACTCAGCTCAAACCCTCATGCAAGTCACTATGTTTGCGTATTACCACAAAACATCCTACAGCCGAAGAGGACACTGAATAAGATGAGGAGGCTTAAAAAAAAAAGACCCAAAGGTTTGACTGGTGTCATGCTCCTGTCTAAAGGGCAAACAGTGTAAGGTGTGAGAGGACAAATACATTAAACATCCATGGGGTGCAGACTGCAGAGCATGAAGCCAGAGGCAGCTGCAGTGCCTACACGGCATCCCTGAACATGTCAAAAACACACTCCTTTACTCGCTATCTTTTCTTTCTTCTTTGGGAAGTGGGTGTGAAGGGGAAAGCACAAGTCTAGTGTTGCCCCTGAATTTTTGCAGACAGTATGGAACAGATTTACAGCTTTCCCTATGCCTAGCACACCACTGCCACAGCAGCTCTGTTGACCACAGCTCACAAAGCTAGACTGTACACTAGTGTTCAGGGCCACATGAAAATCTAGGAACTAAGAACTGGAACCGAGTGACATGATCAGAAGACCCAAATCCATCATAACAGCAGGACCTCAGATTTGGTGGCTAGTAGTCAACAACCACCAGTTTCTCAAGAACTGCCTTATCAAACTTTTAACTGAAGTCACTCTGAAGGCAAAGTGACCTTAGGGTCCACCAAAAAACAGAGCCCAACAACCACTTCTTTAAATACAACTCATGCAAAAAAGTTATTCCTTCTGTTACAGGAATCGCTGGTTTTGGTAGACACAACAACACTGCAATTCTTGCCTTGGCTACCACAGGCTGTTTCCTTAGTGCCTTAGCGTTTTTTCCTAGGTGAGCCTTGCGGGGTGGACCTGCCATAGCCTAAACTTCCTTGCCGCTTCCAAATGCCAGCAAGCCCACAGGGAGATAAAAGCACAACTGCAGTGTTAAACTGGGTAAACTGACCAAGTCACCTGGAAAAATTAAGTACTCTCAACAGGATGTATTCTCCCCAACCCCTTTACTTATCAAATTAGCCTTTGTTGAAGCCACTCCCACAGTACCTGAACATACAGGAGTTTTGTTCTGTACGGAAGAGCCGCTAATAGGCTTGCCATCAGGTGTCACACACCAGCAGTATCCAGTGTAGGTATGGCACTGCACCTGTTTAATAAAACAAAGAGCAGGCATTTCATTTCTCACTCTGTCACCCATCACTTTTATTATATTCTAGCATCTTAGTGGAAGCCCCAACCCAGATGCATCACAAATACATGCTTCAGAGTGAGGAGGTCCCAGAGAAGACCATCTTTGATATTGTTATCTTTTCTTTCTCTCCTCACCCCCCTCCCCAAAGAAAGCTTATTTCTCCTACTCCAACTCCCTTAGCTGCAATTCAGTCGGCAAAAGAAGTTACAAGTAGTCAACTGAGAACAATTCAGTTTTGTGATGCAGCAGCTGTATCTCAGCTCATTCCACCTTCTGCTAAATCCTATTTACTATTTAGCCTTAAATAGTAGTCCCACTACATCCCATCTGGGATATGGAAAGTCCACCCTGGCCCAATTCCACAGCTGCTGCTTGAGAAGAGCATCTTTGGAAATTTCAAGAGCATTTTGCTCAGTAAACATGACTGGAAAAATGCAACACTGACTTGTTATGTTAACAAACCTTCTCCAGATAGATTTAAGGTCTCTCCTGTTACTATGTCAACATAGGCAGTAGGAGCAAAATCCAACATGCTTGCTTTTCATATATTGACAAGAACTTAAAAACATTTGATGAAAGCTCTATTGAGCCAACAGGTAAACAGCATAACTTAACTTTGAAGCTCTGCTTCTAAACTGAACATCTAGAGTTGTCCAGTTCCTTCTTTCACCATGAAAGGACACCAGAATGACTAGATCAGATGCGGACCTCTAAAGTGAAAACAGACAAATCCCAATCTAGCAAACTGGTCTTAGTAAAACCTATGCAGATATTACTTCAGTGGCACTATAGTTTCACCCAGCTCAACAAACTAGTTACAGTCTTTGTCTCACCTTTTCAGAGAGTGTTCAGCATTTGTATGAAATTCACAATGCCTTTGAGTTCCCTTGAGACAAAAATAAATTATAATCATACAGGCATTTATGCAAAATTAAGAGATTCCAAAATCCTTTCTAGCAAACACACTTTCAGTTGTGGCTGAGTGTGCACATCATTACTTCCAGCCCCTTGGAATGGTATGGAAATGCCTATGCTACTTTAAGCTAGAGATGGCTCCCTTCAACACATTTCTGAAACAAAGCCGTTAAATGAGACGAAATCACTTTAGAAACTCCCTTTTCATTTTACTTGTAAATTGAATTCTGTCCATTCTCGCTTTTTCCAAACAACTTCATTGCAACTGATTTCCCATTCCAGTCCTCTCCACACAGAAGAGTGATGGGGTGTTTGTACAGTTCCCTTTATTAGGGATCCTTCAGAGCTAAACCAGTCATTCCCCCTTGCTGACAGCTGGCTTCAATTCCCTAAGGTAGCAGAGTTTGTTCAGAGACTTAACAACAGTCTTTTTAAAAGGCTTTGAGTATCCCATAAAACATGATCTAAGAGCAATTATAACACAGCACCACGTGTTTATCTTGAGTTCTACTAAAGTGCAAATCAATCATTTTGCCTCAAGCAAATTGACTTTTAGCAGCCAAAAATCAACAATAGTCTCATGTAGACATGTTACTAAAGTCACTGTCACTGCTATCTGCATACTTTCATTTTTATTCTCTCAACACATCACAAAACTGATTGCAAATTACTCAAAAGCACTATGGATATAATTGGCAGTAATGAAGTTGCAAAATATTTCTTATTGCTCAATTTAATCAATTGTACATTCAAAGCAAGTGTGATGGAACTGCTTGGGTTTCTGTGATCAGTGTTTATATTTGCTGATCACACATACATTATTGCCTTCCCACATGGAAAGCACAAGGAGCTATTGGGAATGTAATTTCTATCTGAGCATTAATTGTACAAGATGAAGCCAGATTCCGGGATAGAGTCTGGAATTAGTAAGGCAAGACCATTCCATGTTACATTATAGAAAAAAAAAAAAAATCTAGTGTACCCAGCATTTAAAAAATTCAAGTGTTACTGACTTAATAGTTCTTCAGCCAAGTCTGCAGAAAATAACAAAGTACATGGCAAAGGAGTCCAGAAACGTATTGATATAAATTTAGGATAAATACATTAACTAAAAGCATGTTATGCAGTTCATCTCAACGAGCTGCATCTCATCTACCAATTACATACACTCATTTATGCAAGCCAAGCACATTACAACTATAAAAGCACAGTAATTTTGTAAATAACTAAGCTAAGGAATGCTGATCTCCCTTGGAGTGGGATCCCATGACCTACCCGAGATCTCATATTGACAGCACTTTCACAACAACCCAATGCTCTACCATGGCACTAAACAACTTCCGTATCACAGATAATAGCAGCAACTGAATCTCAGCCCTTATCCTAAGAGTCAGACAACTACCCATGAAGAACACACTTCAGAAAACTCAAAAATAACTGCAGTTGGCTTTCCTGAATGTCTTCATGTTGAGAGGGCTACCTTTCATCACAATACCTGACTATGTCTCCGCATATTTAAACTAAAACAAGGCGTCTTAACAACAGTGGCCTACAGCTAGAGATTGCAGCCTAAAGGCTGGGATAAAATAAAGAAAATGGTGTGCTTTTCATGAGTTACGTAGCATTGGTATAGCACTGAAAAAAAAATTAAAGGCAATAGCTGTCCAGCACTATTTCTAAACACCATGTGTAAATACAAACTCTGAAGTGTCAACTATTCCAAAGCACTTTTTATAAGAAATCTTGAGAATTCAGGTTTTTACTGTAATTTTTTCCAATGATCTTAGGTTTGAGGTTTTGTTTCTAAATCCCATGTAAATCTCCTACCTGAAATTCAATCTTATTCTAATTCTACTTGCATAGTAGCAAGATTTTTAAATGCTGTTAAAATCAAAAGAGTAATCGTGTAAAAGTGATACCTGTTTACTGCACAGATCTAATCTTCAGTTACTGAGTTAATTTTGGCTTTCAGTCTTCTAAAGCTAAGTATTGTGTCAGAGAAAATACATTATCAATTCTACATACAAAATAGGCTTGATTGCTAACCAAGTTGCAGCTACAGAACACTCATTATTGCTGGAAAGGCACATGACAGATAGGAGTTTGACATCTCAAATTAACACATGCCTGTCCAACAGCAGAACATTTTAAGTTACAAAATAGGATCCCAGAAAAATAAAACCTACACATCCTTTGAGGTTTCTCAACACATTCCACATTAACATCTGATCATGCAGGAGCACACCATTCCTATTTTTCAGCAAGGAGAGATATGTCATTTCAATTGTGCCTCAACTCAAGGATTGATGCATGAGGGACAAAACCAACAAAAACTGCTCTACCATCACTGCCCAAATTACAGGTGTAGAAGCAGCTCCTCTATCCCCCCTGCCATTACAATGTGTGAAGCCAAGCTAAATCTGACATACAAACCACCGGCCACATGAATAAACACCTGCTCTCATCCAGTTGTATTATGAACACCAGTTCATTACAATATGAAAACATTAAAAGTGTAGTTACTGACAGACAACTCTGCCTCTTAACTTCCTGAGGGAAAATGAAGTCACTGTTTGGTGCTTGGTTTCTTCACCATCTCACTGGCAATGTCACAATCAACTTCCCAAGCAGACCACAGCTTCTCAACAAGCAAAGAGCAGCATCCCTTTACAGCCATCTGACAGAGGCTCAATAGGTTTCTTTGCAAAAGAAACCAGAAATGGGAGAGAAATTGCTTGCACATGTATGAGGAAGAAAACAGAGGCTTGAGAGCACCTTGAACAAGAACTGGGCTCAGTACAGGAACAAACTAGCTTTTCACTGCTGTTCAGATGAAGAGTTTGGTAACTAATTCCTATCCCATCGCAGATCAGTCAAATATTTCCTGGCTTCTTCCACAATGGAGGCAGAAAAACATTCCTTCTATGAGAGAATTAAAAACACATCCAGTTTTTGAATGGCACTTCTGAGGGTGAGGGCAGACAGCAGAGCTACTGCCCCCACTTACAGCATGAGGCAAGGCTCCAAACCCTGACTGCACCCAGGTGTTCCTTGTATACACTGTAAAAACAGCTAAACAAATTACTTCAAGGCAGTAGATCATCTGGTCTGACCCAGAAACCTCAGTGTCACACAGCAATTCTTTAGTTACAGGATGGCTAGGGTTGGAAAGATTATCCAGTTCCAACCCCCCTGCCACGGGCATGGACACCTTCCACTAGACCAGGTTGCTCAAAGCCCTGTCCAACCTGGCTCTGAACACTGCCAGAGACGGGGCAGCCACTGGCCAAACAAGCCTTTCCTTTGTTAGAGCCACTCATGCTCATCTAGAAAGTTCTCTGAACCTAAGTTAGTGGCACACAATTGACACACTGGACTGATGGCTATCTGTCGTAAGTGGCAATGCCTCTGTTAAGCCTTAAATGTCTTGCTGTACTGCTTGGACCCTGGATCTTGTCATACTTCCTGCTAGACTAGGAGTCAGTTGACTATTGTCAGAAGCCTGCCTTGCCTTTAGCAAAATTTTAGGGAGCTATGAATCAGTCTGCATCTTAAGTTTGAGCTTCTTTGGGACTGCAACCCCCTAAATCATTTTTGTCACTTTTTTCTGTTCCCTCCTCACATTTAATTCTTCCTAAATGATGTTATGCAGACACATATTCGCAACAGGGCTTTAATGCAGCAGCCACTTCCCTCAAGTCTATGCACCATTCAAGAAATGCTTGCTCTACAGGAATCTCATTATTCATACAACCAGGGAAAGAAGTGATTTGTGGCAAAGGAATCTTATCCATGGTCAAGGACATTCCTAACACACACTCTGGCACAGATAACATTTTTAGCTCAGGAGAGGGATCCCCAAGAGAGGGTCATTGCTTACACACAGAATGTGACCCTTTAGAGTTAAGAACTACATTATATTGTCACTGTGCTTATGGACACCCACTCCTGCTTTAAGAATCTGTTTCTTTGCTCTAGACTGGTGGTACTTTGAAGAGATGTTGCATATAACCTCCTTACCCATCCATAAGTTATCTTTA